GGAATAGAATTAGAATAGAGTAGAGTAGTAGAGTAGAGTAGAGTAGAGTAGAGTAGAGTAGAGTAGAGTAGAATAGAATTAGAATGGAATGGAATGGAATGGAATGGAATAGAATAGAATAGAATAGAATAGAATAGAATAGAATAGAATAGAATAGAATAGAATAGAAATCTTTATTGGCTACGTGTGATTGGACACACAAGGAATTTGTCTTGGCGTAAATACTCTCAGTATACATAAAGAAAAGGTACATTCGTTAAGAATCAAGAATCATAACGTACAACACTTAATGATAGTTATAGAGTACAATCAACAATCAAATCATATACTAATGTATTGAGATCCTCATCTATCCCCTCATCTAACTCACTGATGAATATATTGAAGAGTGCTGGGCCTAAGACAGAGTCTTGGGGTTCACCACTGCATCCTTCCCTCCATGTACATGCAGTTCCATTCAGGATCACACACTGAGTGTGGTTGGTCAGCAAGTTATGAATCCATCTGGTGGTCATATTGTCTATCCCTCATTTTTCTAGCTTATCAAGAAGTAGGTTGCGGTCTACTTTATCAAATGCCTTGCTAAAGTGCAAGTAAATTATTTCCCCATCTTTTCACTGGTCCACTCATTTTGTCACATTGTCATAGAATGCAATAAGATTTGTCTGGCATGCTATATTTTTGAGAAACCCATATTGGCTTATGCTTATGACTTTGCTTGGTTCTAGGTGTTTTCAGATCGCTTGCTTGCTTGCTTATTTTTTTTCAGGATTGGTATCTGGGGAAATCCTGAAAAAGATATTCAAGCAACTGATCTGTGAACACCTAGAGACAAGCAAAGTTATAACCAGTAGCCATCATGAGTTTGTCAAAAGTGGATCATGTCAATCTTATTGCATTCTTTGACAAAATGACCAAAGGAAAATGCAGATTAAAATTTAAATGTTCCTCTGCCAAATGCTGCATACTTAATACAGGTAGTCCTTGTGACCACAACTAAGCCCCAAGTTTCTGTTGCTGAGACATTTGTTAAGTGAATTTTGCCCTATTTTATGACTTATCTTGTCATAATTGTTAAGTGAACCACAGCAGTTGTTAAGTGATTCAGACAATTGTTCGGTGAATCTGGCTACCCCATTGACTTTGCTTGTCAGAAGATTGCAAAAGGAGATCACATGATCCTGGAACATTACAACCATCATATATATGATTCATATATGTCAAACGCCTGAATTTTGACAATGTGACCATGGGGATGTTGCATTGGTTGTAAGTGTGAAAAATAGTCATAGACACTTTTTTTCAATGCCACTATAACTTTGAACAGTCACTAGCTGTTGTTAAGTTGAGGCTACCTGTACATAAAAGCTAAAGGAAAAACACACATGTATGTCAATAAAGCCTAGAATAAATATCTCTTTTTAGTTTTACCTCTAACAAAAGCTGCTGAGTTTATTTATCATCTATCAATACATTTGTGCAAATTTTACCTTTAACAGTCAATACAGCTGAAGTTTTCTGATCTCCACAAATACAGGTGTAACGTCCAGCATCCTCAACTTCTAAATTGCGGATTACCAACTCAGCGACAGATGCTTCCTGTCTCAATTTGTATTTGTCCCCTTTTAATTTTTTTCCTTCCTTCATCCATTCCACAGGAGCAGCTTTGGTGAGCTCACAATGCAACACGGCTGTTTCATTTTCGACGGCTGCCACATCCTTCAGTTCCTGTTTGAATTGGGGAGGTAGGGCTGAAGGACATAAGAGAGAGGAGTGAAGATTGTCCGGGGGTAGATGGACTTTGGACAAAGTTTGGTCAGAGGTAAGGAAAAGGAATCGATGTAAGAAAAAAATAGAGTATGTCCTTCTCTTCCTTTCTTTATATTTTTCCCTTCCTGCCTTTCTCACTGTTGTCCTTCCTTCCTTCTTTCCCTTCCTCCCGCCCTTCCTTCCCTGCCTCCTTCTTTCCTTTTCCTTCCTTCTTTCTATCCTTCTTCCTCCTCCCATTCTCCCTGTCACTTTTCCTTCCTTCCTTCCTTCCTTCCTTCCTTCCTTCCTTCCTTCCTTCCTTCCTTCCTTCCAACTTTGATAGACAAACCACAAGACATCAACAAACAAGACAAAAAACCCACAGATTTGCCAAAGGCAGAACTCGAGATAAATTGATTTACCGCGGACTGCCAGATCCGCAGTGGTTTTCTGATCACCACAGACACAGGAGTATTCTCCAGCATCTCCAAGACCAAGGTTATGGATCACACACTCTACCACAGGGCCTTCCTGCTTCAGGCTGTATTTGTCATTTGCACGCAGCGTCTTGTGTTTCTTTTTCCATTCCACCGTAGCCGTTTTTGTCAGCTCACACTGGAGAGTAATAGTTCCACCTTCTGTAGCTTCTTGGTCTTCCAGACCTTTCTTGAACCTTGCAGGGATGGCTGGAGGGGTTCAGAAGGAAGAAAGCAGGTGAATACCCAGATGTTGAAGAAAAGGATCCATTTGTAGGCCCCATGGATCATTCTCCCCCTTTTCTTCCAAACTCAACAGCAAGCACTTCATTAGCTTGAAGTGTCTTCTAGAAGACCTCCAAGGTCCCTTCCAAACGTGTAACAGTAGTCCTTGACTTACAGTTCATTCAATGATTATTTAAAGTTACAACAGCACCTAAAAAAGTGACTTATGGCTGACTTCCACACATATGAATGTTGAAACATCCCCATGGTCTTGCGATCAAAATTCAGACGCTTGGCAGCTGACATATATTTATGACCTGTGATGTGCCCCAGGGTCATGAGATCACTTTTTGTGAACTTCTGACAAATAAATTCAATAGGGAAGCCAGATTCACTTAATAACCGCATTACTAACTTTCAGTGATTCGCTTACAAATTGTGGCAAGAAAGGTCGCAAAATGGAGCAAAACGCACTTTACAAATGTCTCACTTAATAACAGAAATTTGGGGCTCAGTTGAGATTGTAAGTCGAGGACTATCCGTATTCTTTTATTCCATCTTGATTTGAAGCAGCAAAATAATTTAATATCTTTTTTATTTACCTAAAAGTAAGGAGAGGTGCCCCATGTATAAAAGAATCACTTTATTTACGTAGTTGTCAACTTGCGACCCCAGTTGAACCCAAAATTTATGTTACTAAGCAGGTAGTTGAAAATGCATTTTACATTTTACAACCGTTCTTGCCAAAGTTCTTAAGGGAATCACTATAGTTGTTAAGTTAGTAACACCGTTGTTCACTGAATCTAGCCCAATTGACTTTGCTTGTCAGAAGTCCCAAAAGATGATCACATGATCCCAGGACATGGCAACCGTCATAAATATCAGTTGCCAAGTGTCTGAATTTTGATCATGTGTCCACAAGGATGCTGCAACAGTTAAAAGTGAAAAACAGTCATAACTCATTTTTTCAGTGACATTGAATGGTCATTAAATGAATGGTTGTAAGTCAAGAACTACCTATAATGAGGAATGATCTGTTGGCAGGTTACTAGAGTTGAAATCTTTGTACAATCCTTGCCTTTAACAGGTCTGAACCAGTTTTTATCAGAATTCATATTCATCAAAAAGAGCCTGTTGTATTATTTTAAACAACCAGAAACATTAATCAAAGGCACTCTTAGTTTCCAAAAACTTGTGTCCCCATCAGCTCCAGATTGTAAAATTGCATCAGACACAAGAAAACCACAAAGCTCAGAAAGCACCAAGAATTACATAGTTCAACCCCGCGCTACAAACATTCTCTTTTATCGATCTTACTCAGCCTCCAAGGGCTGCAAAGAACTTTTGACTTCTTTCTTATACCTAAGATGACCAGAGAAACTTAGATGCCCTCCTCGCTTTCCATCTATTGGATTTGACTACAGGAAACAAAACGTTTTATGTACCATTCACCCTTAAGAAAGCTGAAGTCTTCGAATCGCCGATGGTGCAGCTGTAATCCCCAGTATCGGCCATTTGCAAGTGGTGGACCACCAATTCAGCAACCACACCTTCCAGTTTCATTTCATATTTGTCACTGGGCTTCAAAACCTCACTTCCCTTCCACCATTTCACAAGGGCAGGAGTTTTGGTCAGCTCGCACCGAAGAACGGCAGCGCCATCTTCAGCAGCTTCGAGGTTCTTCAGGTTGACTTTGAAACCTGGAGGTAACACTGGAGAGAGTAAATAGAACATTTGAGGTCATCCATCCTCACAGCTAGAATAAACCCATGAGATTCCTCTTAAGGGTTATGTATGGAATCACTTGCAGGTAAGTCCTCGACGTATGGTCACAATGAAGGCCCAAAACTTCCATTGCTAAGCAGGACGGATGCTAAGTGAGTTCCGCCCCATTTGATGACCTTTCTTGCTGCAGTTGTTAAGTGAATCCCTGCAGTTGTGGAGCTAGTCACATGGTTGCTAAGTGAATCTGGCTTCCCCCAATTGTTACAAGGTCTCAAAAAGCAATCACGTGATCCTGAGACTTAAAACCGTCATAAATGTGAACCAGTTGCCAAGAATTTTGATTTTGATCACGTGATTGTTGGGATGCTGTAATTATTGTAAACGTGGAAAATGGTCATAGGTCAATTTTCAGTGCTGTTGTAACTTTGAATGGCCACTAAACAAATGATTATAAGAACTATCTGTACGCTCCTAATCCACACTCCAACAGCAGACATAAATTTTCCTGCTTTTCTGCTAAAGTGGTACAATTAAATGGTCTAGATCGGTATTTCTCAACCTTGGAAAGTTTAAGATGAATGAACATGAGCTCCCAGAATTCCCCAGAGGGGATGCTGGACTAGATAATCTTAATGGCTCTCTTATAACTCTAAGATTCCAACTGCAAATTAAAAGAATGGGAGCTCAGGTTGTAACAGAAAGCAATAGATACAGAAGCTGGTGAAAAAAATGAACCCACTCAAATTGTGGATTGTTTCCAAAAGTGGCCTAAAACTCTAAAGAGATACCAAAGATGATAGGGTCCTTGGTGCTTTTGGGGCTTGGTGGTTTTCTTGCAGACGTTTCATGACCAAACTAGGTAATATCATAAGCCCCAGCACTGGTCACTTATCACTCATCACTTAGCGCTGATGATGTTACCTAGCTGTGTCATGGAACATCTTCAAGAAAACCAACAAGCTCAGAGAGCATTAAGAAGTTCACAGTCTTCCTCCTTCCCCTCCTCCCCTCTGCATACCCCCTTCCCTTCTAGCACTGATGGAATTCTCTTGGGTCATGAAACATTTGCAAGAAACCACTAACCTCAAAGAGCACCAAGAACCTCACAGTTCTCCTTCTCCTCTTCCTCCTACTCTGCATAAACCCTACACTCCCTCCTAGCACTGATGACGTTCCCTAGTTGTCATGAAACAACTGCAATAAAACAACCCAGTTCAGTGAGCACCAAAGATCACACAATTCATCTCTAAGCTACAGATATTCTCAAAGAATATCGCCAATACCTACTTTTAATCAGAAAGGGGTAAAAAAGAGAGAGGTGTCCTATATTTACCCTGCACAGTGACAGTGGCTGATGTGGTCTGATCTTCACAAATACAGGAATATTCTCCCGCATCCTCTTCAGTCACATCCTGGATTGTAAGTTCTGCAACGTTTTCTTTCTGTTTGATTTTGTATTTTGCACCTGGTTGGAGCATCTGTGCATCCTTTCTCCAATCCACCATGGCAGTTTTATTTAAGGCACAGCGCAGAATGGCCGTTCTTCCTTCCAGGACCTCTTGGTTTTTGAGTTCTTCTTGGAAACGCAGAGGTAGAGCTGTGGAGCATAACACCAACAGAGTATAGATTGTTTTAAATTTCAGAGTTTTGAGATTTCCAGCAAGGGAGCTTTTTCAAGAATGCAACATGAAAAGAACTCAACCATGAGCATCTGAAGGGTGGAGCCAGCTGGGATTGTGACACAATTTGCATAATGCACGACATCACCACTGCTATTTGCATGATGTCATGGTGGAAATGATGATAACATCGTTGTACAAATGCAATTTCCAGTTTGAAGCTGGTTGTCCTGTTGCATGCTAAAAATCGACATCCTTTTTATTGTTTTTATTGCTATTATAGTTTTAGAATGATTTTAATGTTTTAATCATATTTTTAAACTGAAGTGATGAAGGAAGGGGGAGGAAGGGAGGCAGTGGTGGGATTCAAATTTTTTTACTACCGGTTTTGTGGGTGTGGCTTGGTGGGCATGGCAGGAGAAGGATACTGTAATATCTCCAGTCAGAGGTGGGATTTGCCAGTTCTACGAACTACTCAAAATTTCCGCTACCAGTTCTCCAGAACTGGTCAGAACCTGCTGAAAATCACTTCTGGAGGGAGGGAGGGAGAGAGGGAGGGAGGGAGGGAGGGAGGAAGGAAGGAAGGATAGATAAATGAAGAGGAAGAAAGGATAAACAGGAAGGAATGATTGCAACTATACAGATATTGGATGGATGGATGAATAAATCATAAATGGATGGATGGATGGATGGATGGATGGATGGATGGATGGATGAATGAATGAATGAATGAATGAATGAATCCTAAGAGCACATTTTCAGCTGAGATGTTACTTTCTTATTTAAAGATCAAAATAAATTTGAACCTGCAAATGTATACCATAAAATACAATAGCAACGTTCTGCTTTTCTATACCATTTGGGTTCCATCAAACATTTTAGATGAAAAAAAACCACATTTTTTTCCTAAAACATTATTCCTCCAGTTTTTATTTATTTATTTATTTTTATTTGTCGATTGCTTACAAGATAATAGATATAAGTAAAAACATAGTTATGAATACATGGATACATATAAGAGAAATAAAAATAAAAAATAAAAGAAACAATTAGTTAGCAGAATTCACACTTTTTGCTGCCTTACCAAATGTTTTTTACAAAGTGGGTCTTTATAAAGCAGACAGGAAAGACATAGGCATTTTTCTCTGAACAAATAACTCAGTTGGAACTAGCACACTGAATGGGTCCAGAAATAGATATATAACTGCAAGCAACAATAGTACAAAAACAATTCAAAAATCAGAAGTTTAGGAAGAGAAATAAATAAAATACTTCCAAAATCGGAAATAAAAATAGCATTTCAATGGGTCTCATGGAAAAAAATCTTTAAGAAGAAAGAAGATAAAAGAAGGCAAAAACCACCTGATAAAATAGAATTAAAAAAGAAGAAAAGAAAGTTACATGGATACCTTTAGGAAGGAAAATAAAGAAATGGATTAAAATATATTTAAAAGAACAAATGTAGAGATGCAATGCAAAATATCCTTTGGAATTGGCTCAAATTCTGGGCTAAATTGAAAGTTTTACAAGGAATTTCCAATGTTATACAGTATTTTGCAGTGTTTAGTCTCGGAATGTTGGAGAAGAAGGTATAGGATTAATATTGTATTAGGAGAGCCAATCTTCATATTCTCCTTTAGCCACAAAGATCATTCTGAAATTCTCCAAATAGAAAGAAGGTGGGATATAAAACTAACCAATCAATAAATAAATATGCATTTCTAAAATGTCAACATCCTTCTTAAAATGCAGTGATCAGAAATGAATGTGCTAAAGATATGGTCTGCCCAATAGAAACTAGAAAGGAATAATACCTTGTTATATACTGTGAGCTAAGGTTAGAATGTCTTTAGAACTGAAAAATCAACATATTTTTGAGAGGTGGTAAATTAAAAAAAGAATATATATTTCATTGCAAGATATGTCTTACTTCTGATATAATAATTCTGTGAAACCTGTTTTGATTCAGAAGACATTAATATGAGAGCCAGTAAGGTGTAGTGATTAAGGTGTTAAGGCTAGAAACCATGGCAAATTCTAGTCCAGCCTTAGGCATCAAAGCTAACTAGCTGATTTTACCCCAATCACCATGAGATGGTGAGTTTTAGTTCCGTCTTTGGCATGAAAGCCAAGTGTATGAGTTTCAGCCAATCAGCAGGAGATTGTGAGTTCTAGTTCTCTCTTAGGCACGAAAGGCGACTGGATGGCTTTGGGTCAAATCATCAAGAGTTGGCGAGTTCTAGTTCCGTCTTAGGTATGAAAGCCGACTAAGTGACTTTGGGCCAGTTCCCCCGCCACTCTCTTTCCCTCCCTCCCTCCTTCTCTCTCTGCCCATCTCACAGGTTGTTGTGGTGGAGAAAATAGGAGCAGGAAGGAATATTATTATTATGTATATTTGCCACCAGAAATTAATATGTCCCTGTGTCAAAAAGCATAAAAATTCTCTGTGGGAACGCACAGATTTGCACAATCAAGAAATTTTAGCATGTTGCGATAACTATTAGCAAAGACTGCATATTGTTATGTGAGACAAGGAGAAAAGAGATCACACTGGAATTTTGCACAATCAAGAAGATTTTGTCTAGAGAGAAATATCTTAATGAAGGTTTGCAGAAGATATTAAGAGAGGAGAAATGGTAGCATAACCTTAGGAAGTTGTAAGAAAGAAAAAAATTTGTGGCACGTGAAAAGATAAAAGCTATCTCCTGACTTGAGCTATTTTCAAAGGCCTCCCACATTGTGGGAGATACTTTCAGCCTGTAAAAATCTGCCTTCAGAACCTGAAAGTATTGTGCAGTTAGGATTTCCAACATGGAGATGGAGTCTTTTCTTTGCAAAGTAAATACCCATCATCAAACCAAGAACACAGAGTCTGAAGAAGTTGTTAAGTACATAACATGGTCCAGATGTCATGGGACCAAAACTTGCCTAGGAATTTTGGGACTGTAGCCTCAGCTCTTCTGGAGAACATCAAGTTGAGAACCTCATGTTGGGGAACATCATGGGGCAAAGCTTAAGGACCGTCTGAGGGTCTCAAGCAGACAGCTCAAATCCCGATAAGAACTAACATTACCAAAATAATTGTAATCCCAATCAGCCAAAGTGTGACACTCTTGTTAACTTTGGACACAAACAGGGTTACTTGACCAAGTAACCAACATGAAGACAAGACATCAAAACATCGCAATGCACTTCCGGTTTGAAGTCTCTTCGGCGACAGACAGAAATCTGCGATTGTGCACAGTTTCAGTCTGGGCTCGCTGCTGGAACGCCCCGAGCTGGATGGTTTCGGGGCTAAGCCACCCCATAGAGGTGGTGAAGAGGGGGGAGACTGCCAGCAGGGTTGAGGAGAGCTGCATCTCTCCTCCCCAGCTGGCATTACTCCCTTTCCCGAAAGCGGTTGCAGCGGTGGTCAGAAATGTCCACCACAAAGGAGAATTCGACTGGAAAAGAATGTGCAGGAGGAAGATAAGAAGTGAAAGTTTTGGCTGACTGGGTTAAATTGTAAAAGCAACAACTAAGGTACCCTGGAATTTAAACTTACAAAAAATAACATTGCTCCCAAAGAAGAGTCGGAAGCAGCGAAGGAAAATGAAAAGGGAAAGGTTTGGGTTTTTTTTCTTCTCTCTCCTTCCCTATACTGACAACTAAGAGACTTAAATAAGAAATTGGAAAAATCCGCTTTGACATCAATAGGCAATTAAACTGAAAATAAAACAAAATGCCAAAGGGATAATAAAGATTTCTGGACACTACAATAAAATTGTAACCCCAGGAAGAGAAAGTGGGGGAAAAAAGAGCAAAAAGAAACAGCTTGCGTGTATTTGGATTACTTGGTGATCTTTGGATTCTTGGTTATTACATTTGAATGACTAAAATTAATCGGGTGGTTGTTTAAAAATTTATACAATTGCACCACTCCTGGATCAATTGAAAATGGAACTTAAAAAGTACAAAGAAGATGCACAAGAAGGGAGAAGTTCCTTTGGCTTTGTTTTTCAATTCTTAGAAATGGAGATTTAGAACTATGAGAAACAATAAGAAACGTCTGCAAAACAAGAAGACTGAGACAAAGAAGAAGCCATCTTTAATGAACAAGTAATTCTATATGGGGAAGAAAAAGGAAAGGGGGGAAAGAGCATGGAGAATTTAAGATTTAAAAAAACAACCAAAGAAAAGAAAAATAATTCGAAAAATAAGTATAATACTGGAAAGCAACAGAAAAGGGGAATACAGAAGAAAGAAATAGAGGTAGAGAGACAAGGGGGTAAAAAGGGGAGAGAGAAGAAGAGAGGGAAGAAGGAAAGGAAAAGAAGTTACAAAGGACCGGAGCAAGATATAGAGAAACAGGACCTATTTAGAGATAATGGGTGAAAAACTAACTGAAAAAGGGATTCTGTAAAGGCACATAAGACTGTATTGTTATATTAGTAATAGAAATAACTTTAGAAAATTGGAAACAATGTATGATTAAAATGAGAGATAAAATAGTTAGTGTAACTTAGTGAAATGTTTGTTAATAAAATAAGTGAAATAAAATAAATGAGAAAATTGAATTAGGAAGGGATGGGAACATTTTAATTAGTTAATGTTTTATAAAATATAAGTGAAGGGGGGGAATTAATTATGGAAAGCTTATAACTGTTCCCATGGAAGTATGATATTTAATTGAAAAGCAATGTTAAAGAAGTTAAGATTTTAATGAATATTAATATTAATGATAGAATTGAATTGGAATGGAATGTGTTGTTTTAATTACATATATTTATAATTTTTTCTTTTTTTAAGAATATAGTGTGTATTTTAAGAATGTACCAAGCAGAATCCAAATGGAAGTTATGTATTATATTGAATGTTATAACTTTAGGGTATATATTGAAGCCTAAATAAGAGTTAAATGGATAAACTTAAAAGATATAAAGGCGTCATACTCCAATCAGTAACTACAGGAGAAATTTTGTTTAATGAGAAAAGATAATAGATAATTGAAACAGGACAGACAAAAAATACAAATATAATGATTTGAATTGAGATGAGATAATTAAAATAAAATTGAGAAAATTAAAAGAGGGGAGAAGCTATGCAGAAAATGTAAAATAGTAATAAGATATGGAATAGAATATAAAAAATGAGCATGAACTTGAATTTGTGTCTGTACAAAGAAATGTAACCCGGGATTACGCTACTTTCAAAAAAGATGTTTTACTTGTATTTTTTTTCTTTTTGTGAAAACTCAAATAAAATTTACAAAAAAAAAAAAAGACATCACAACGCAAATCACACAAGATGATTAATACAACAGACTATGGAACAACTGATTACCATGAACAGTCAAGACGGCTGTGGTCTTCTGATCTCCACACACACAGGAGTAATCTCCCGTGTCTACCACCTTCAGATCTCGAATCAACAACTCGGCAACAGGACCCTCCTGCCTCATTCTGTATTTATCACTTGGCTTAAGCGTTTGTGACCCTTTCTTCCACTGGACCTCAGCCCCAGCTTTAGACATCTCGCAGTGGAGGGTAGTGGTGGCATCTTCAACAGCTTCCCGGTTCTTCAGCCCTTCTTTGAAAAGAACGGGCAGAGCTGAGAAGGTGGCAACAAGGACAGAGATGAAAGGTAAGCATGAAGGACAACAAGATGGAAACCACAGGACATCATACAAGCATGGAAGTCCTACCACTCAAAGGCAGCAAAACAAGAACTTATAGATTGGGAGAACATGGTACACTAGACATTTTTTGTAAAATTATTGTCTAGGAGGATGCTATTCAGGGACACACTGAGAAGACAAATAATGGTGTGATATTTAAAGCATATGGACATTTTAGACATTCCAAGTTTACCCAAGAAAGATTCTGTTCTTGATTCCTTGAGGTCCTTCTTTACTTAACTGTAGCGATTCTGAGTTCCAAGCATTAGAAAAGTGGTTGAACATATATACAGTATTTTAAGTTGGGTAGTAGCTATGAAGTTAGCATTTGTTATGGATTTATCTGAATTACATATATTTATTTGTAATATATATATATATTTCTTAATTTTTCGCGGGTACTTACATGTATGGTATTCAGCTTTGTTTGGGTATTTTCCCATGTCATTGTAGTTGTGCTTTTAAAGACGAACACAATACAGAAGCCTGATGATAGCAGATGAGATTCTACCGAAACGTTGCTACAACTTTAAAAGCACAACTATAATGACATGGGAAAATACCCGAACAAAACTGAATACCATACATGTAAGTACCCGTGAAAACTTAAGAAAACAAATATACATACATACATACATACATATATATGTTTGACAGAAGATATTAGAAACACCGAAGCAGAACACAGCAAACACCAAGAGCAATAAACACAGACCAAGACTCCCAACCAATCAGGATGAAGAAAAAAAAAACATTCTGGCTAGCCCCAAATTTAAAACTGAAACCACTGTAAGTCTGATTCACAGACGAACACAATACAGAAGCCTGATGATGGCAGATGAGATTCTGCCGAAACGTTTCTACAACTTTAAAAGCACAACTACAATGACGTGGGAAAATACCCGAACAAAGCTGAATAACTAACATACATACATACATACATACATACATACTTACATACATACATACACATGTCTTCCTCGTCCATAACTGAAGCCCTTTGAAGGCCGTAAATTGAGGGAAGTTCTTATGAACAATATGACAATCTCAGCTCTTAACAAGAAGAATCTTAAAGGTTTGGATATCTTCAGAAATAAGAAAGATGGCTTTTTTAAATTAAAAGATTAAAATGTGATTGATGGATAAGCTCTGCTGATATCTACCTAAGCTGGGTGATTCTCTGAGATAGTTGATGAAAGATTGTCACTGTCAGCATATATAGTCTGACACAAAGATTAGGACTTCAGGAGAAACTAAAAGACTGAGAAAGACCAGGAGATCAAAGGAACCAACAGAATAAATATATATATGGAGAGATAAAAGTTTACCCTTGACTTCTAAAGTTGCTGTGGTTTGCTGTTCTCCAGATATACAAGCATAGATTCCAGAATCTGTTACTTCCAAGTTCTGGATCACCAGTTCAGCAATTTTTCCTTCGTGTTTCATTTTATATTTGCTTCCTGACTTAAGGATCTTGTGTCCTTTCTTCCACTCTATGGGGGCAGAGATTTTGTTCAGCTCACACTGGAAAGTGGCAACCTTGCCTTCCATAGCTTCTTCATCTTTCAAGGATTTGATGAAGAGGACCGGCAGGGCTAAAGAATGAAGAAGTCCATCAGGGTTAGTTAGGAGCTCCAACAACTCCTTCCTTAGCAAACATTTGGGTTAATTAATCACAACGCATAATTCAACCTAATCATATACCTTAATGGATTATTGTATGAGGTCTGTCTGATGCCTGATGATTGCCATCTTGTCAGACTACAGAAACTTGGAAATTACCATTTTAATCTTCAATTTATAGAATTTGTAATCTGGAATTCTTGCAAGTGTGGCTTGACTTTATCATTTGATGCAAAAATTGCAGGAGACAATGGAAGGTGTATTGGTCTTGAGAATACAGGTAGTCCTCAATTTACGACAATACTTCAGCCCAAAATTTCTGTGCTGAGTTGTTCAGTGAGTTTTGCCCCATTTGATGACCTTTCTTCCCACAGTTGTTATGTGAATCTGGCTTCCCTGTTGACTTTGGTTGTCAGCAGATCACAAAAGGGGATTGCATGAGTCCGGGACACTGAAACTATCATAAACATCTGTCGGTCCAAATTTTGATCATGTGACCGTGGTCGTAAGTGTGAAAAATTATCTTTAGTCACTTTTTTCAGGGTCTTGTAACTTCGGATACTAAATGAATGGTTGTAAATTGAGGTCTACCTGTACCAGCGATACTATGGATCCCAATGCATAGAATGAATTAAGGAGAATGAGGGCTGATGGTTAGATTAGATCAGGGTTCCCCAACCTTGGTAATTTCCAGTGGTGTAGACTTCAACGCCCAGAATTCCACAGCTGGCAGGAGTGTTGATGAGACTTCTAGGACCTGAAATCTACACACTTAAAAAATTGCCAAGGTTGGGAAACGCTAGATTAGACCACTGAGATAGGGCTAGTTTTGTAGTTATAATTTCTGACATCTGATTCTTTAAAAAAAAATAGGTAGACATTTGCCTCCCGTTTCAAATGGACTGTATAGAGAGGATGCCATTAATTGCAGTACACCTAATTTCAGTTCAACAGTTTTATACTCATTTAGAACATAAATATAGAATCATCGAGTTGGGAGGGGTTTTGGTGTTTGCCATCTATCTCAATAATACCATTCTGAACAAATGGCTGTCCAATCTCCTCTTGAAAATCTCCAATGATGGAATAATCACAATTTTGGAATTAAACCATTCCACTGATTCATTGTTCTCACTGTCAGGAAATTTCTCCTTAGTTCCAGGTTGGATCTCTCCTTGACAAGTTTCTATCTGTTACTCCTTGTCCTGCCTTTTGGTGCTTTGGAGCATAGTTTTGACTCCCTCTTCTTTGTGGCAGCCTCTCAAATATTGGAAGATGCTATCATGTCACTGCTAATCCTTCTTTTCATTAAACTAAGATAAAAGGGTAAAGGTTCCCCTCGCACATATGTGCTAGTCGTTTCTGGCTCTAGACATTCATTAAACTAGACATGCCCAATTCCTGCAACCATTCTTCATGTGTTTTAGTCTCTAAACCCCTAATCATCATTGCTCTTTTCTGTATTCTTTTCAGAGTCCCAACATCTTTTTTACATCGTAGCAACCAAAATGGATGGAAATATTGTGGTCTTACCAAGACATTATAAAGTGGAGTTAACACTCCTCGTAATCTTGATTCTATTCTTCTATTAATGCAACTGAGGACTGTTTTTTGGCAGCTGCAGCACATGGCTGTCTCGTGTTTAAGTGGATAGTCTACTAGGACATCTATTGCTCAAAGAGTTTAACTTTGAAACTGTTAATGCCATTAACAGGGATTAGTAGAATATTATTCATTATTCATTAGTTGTATTGTTTGAATTGATAGAATCAAGATCATATGAGGTGTTAACAACACTTTATAATGTCTTATTAGGACCACACTTGGAGTATTATATCCAGTTTTGGTTACCACAATATTAAAAAAAATGTTGAGACTCTAGAAAAAGTGCAGAGGAAAGCATCAAAGATGACTAGGAGACTGGAGGTTAAAACAGTTGCAGGAATTTGATATGGCTAGCAATCTTCCAATATCTAAGGGGTTGCTACAAGGAAAATGGGGTCAACCTATTCTCCAAGGCATCTGCTAGTCAGACAAGAAGTATTAGATGCAAGGTTATCAAAGAGAGAACCAATCTAAAACTCAGGAGAAATTTCCTGACAGTTAGAACAATTAATCGGTGGAACATCTTGCTTCCAGAAGTTTTGGGTGCTCAATCACTGGAGGATTTCAAGAAGAGACTGGACAGCCATTTCTCTGAAATGGTATAGCGTTTCCTGCCTGAGCAGGGGGTTGGACTAGGTAACCTCCAAGGTCCCCTCAAACTCTGTTATTCTGCATTCTGAATTGCTCTGTGGCAGCTGATTTCCAGGGCAAGTTTAAAGGTCTTCTCACTGTAGCTCCTGCAAACTTTTGGATGTCCCAAAGGAATGTTGAGGAAAAGGTGTTGTGACCTCTTCCTTTGGAAATTGAAAGTTTTTAAAGACAAGACACTGTTTATGAGACTCCAAGATTGATGATGACTACTCAAAGATTGGTTTAAGAAGAAGAAGCAAGTTAGCTGCATAAAGATAAGCTGTGGTACTGAGCTTCACTGGAGAACACTAGAAAACATAAGATTTTAAGATACAGTGACTTAAGGGTGACATGTATATTTTCTTTACCATTTATGGTCAATTTAGCTGTAGTCTTCTGGGCTCCACATTTGCAAGTATAATCTCCAGAATCAATGACATCCAAGCTTTGGATCACCAGTTCAACACAAGGACCTTCCTGTTTTAATTGGAATTTTCCATCTGGTTTTAGCAGCCTAGATCCCTTGTACCATTCCACAGTTGCTGCTTTATTCAGCTTACATTGGAAAGTGGTAGATTCCCCTTCAATCCCTTCCTTGTTTTTTAGTTCTTCTTGGAAAAACACGGGCAGTGCTGAAAGGACGTGACATGGAGAAAGACAGGATCAAAAATTGCTGAATGGATTAGATCTCAATGGATAAAACTCTTGCGACATTTGAAACATACCGAGGGGTCGGGGGGAATCAAGAAAACTAAAACAAGGTTTATGAAACTTCGGAGAAGATCCTGCTTATGAAACTACATTAAAAGTGATTGTATTTCGGGCGATCGATGAAAGAACCCAGCTACCAGGAGCAACCAAGAAAGCCAAAGAAGGTCAGTTGCAAAGGCTTATTACCATTCACTTTCAAAGTTGCTTTGGTCTTCTGATCCCCGCACATGCAAGTGTAACTTCCAGCATCTGAGACCTCCAGATCTTGGATGGACAGCTCAGCAAAGCGTCCTTCTAACCTCATTCGGTACTTCTCACTTGGTTTCAGTACTTTTTCATCCTTCATCCACACGACCAAATCTACCGCTTTGGTCAACTCGCAATGCAGAGTGGCAGTTCCACTTTCGGTCACCTCCTGGTTCTTCAGTTGAGTTTTGAATTGCGCAGCCACGGCTGAGGGACACAGAAGGAGAAGATACCACATCAACAGCAACAAGTTATGGGGAAGACTATCTTTCATACACATGATGTCCAAGTGTGACACCCCTGGATTACCATCTGGTGTGTTCTCAACAGTTGCTACCAATTCCAACTTTGGAAGGTGGTCCTCAAAGCAGACTTCTCCTAAGGTTGAAAGTTGAATGTTTGCAAGACAGAATTGTTTGGAGAGACAGGATTCAGGCTTGCTTAAAGTGGACACAAGGACTATTTTCAACTGCTCTACTAATACCAATGCTCAGAAATCATCTGTAAAGCACCATTTCCTATCAAGCTAAAAAGGAAAGCAGAGATCCTGAGGCCAGAAAGACACAGAAGGTCAAGGCAAAAGAGAGTAAACCAGATGGTCAAACTTTGAAAAGACACAAATATAGGGGTGGTAGGAATATCTCCACAAGATAAACAAAGCTGTGCTTTGATTTGGCTTTTTTTACCATTCACAGTTAAGACTGTGGTCATCTGTTGGTCTCCAGAAATGCAGGTATAATCTCCAGCATCTTTCAGGTCCAGATCATGGATTGTCAACTCAACGATTGTGCCTTCTTTCTTCATTCGGTATTTGCTGCCTGGCCGTAAAGTTTTTTGTCCTTTCAACCACTCCACCGGAGCAGGTTTATTTAATTCACAGCAGAGAGTAGCTACTCCACCTTCCAGACCTTCAGCCTTCTTCAGTTTTTCTTTAAAACTGACAGGTGTAGCTGGAGGATGAAGGGTTAGAGACAGAGATATGGAGCATGTGCAAAAATATATGATCACTTACCAATATTAGAGTCAAGTTATATTATAAATGAGACCAAATCAGCAATTGCATTAAATGTAAAGAAAACAAATAGAGCTTTGATTGCAGCCATTTGACCACCCACTTTAGACAACCTTGTTTCTAGCCCCAGAACACAGGCAGGCAGCCACGAGGAACTGTTGGGACAATGCAGGGTGGCAGAGAAACCTTTTCGAAGCAACTGACTTAAACAAGAAAAAAGCAGTCCTTTACATTGGGAAGAGGGGGGAGGGAGAGAGGGAGAGAGAGAGAGAGGTGATAGAGATAGACAGATGATAGATAGATAGATAGATAGATAGATAGATAGATAGATAGATAGATAGATAGATAGATAGAGGTGGGTAGGTGGATGCTAGAAAAGATAGATATGAGAGAGACAGAAGGATAGAGGGAGGGGTGATATAATGGCATGGGAGACAGAGGGAAAGCTGCAGATTGGAGAATCAGCAGGTAAAAGATATCTCGACCCACCGAAAGAAAAAGAACATGAGAAGCAGTACAGAAGGAACCCTCCCTAATTTTGCAGTTGGGGAGAAATATTTTGAGGTTTGCAAAATTCTGTTCATGTAACCTTACAATACAGATAGTTCTTGGTTTACAATCATTCTTTTAGTGACCCTGCAAAGTTACTTACAACTGCACTTATGACCCTCATAGCATCTCCAAAATTCAGGCCTTTGGCAACAGGCATATATTTATGATAGTTGCAGCATCCCAGGCTCACATGATCACCATTTACACCCTTCCCCCAAGCACAATCAATGGGTGAATCAAATCATGAATCACACAATTTGCTTAACAATCGTGTGATTCACTTAACAACTGCGGTGATTTGCTTAACAACTGTTAGGATTGTAAGTCACCTAACAGTTAGTTGGGTTGGAATATATATAACCAGGATAGACATTTTAATACTGTCTCTTTAAGAGAATGCTAAAAGTGTAACTGGGTGTGGTTCCTCAAACGGCCATAAGATGGAGCCAGAAACCTGGGTTGTTTTGGTCCTGTTCTGTTGTTCTGTAGACTGTTGCTGATCATAGTTGGATTTGATGTAAGTCTGTTACTGAACTGTTTTTGATGCTGGACTTTGTTACTGGATTATCCCTGGATTAAAACCTGACTGCTTTAATTGTGAATGACTTGGACTGCTTGTTTGGACTTTGCTTAAACGTTTATTGGAAGTAAAAACCTACATTTTACTATACAGTGTATCTGTGTACTAGTTGTGTGTTATTCTTCACCACTCTCGCTACGTCTCCCTGTATGCGCTCATTCTCCTAACAGGGAATTACCTCAACACTGGTTATGGGCCCAGGCCATGCCAGGCTCAGATAACTGAGAGTTGGTGTGAATGCACAGTACTGTATACAGACGGCTGTTTACTGTTTAATTGTGGGTTACTATCCTGGTAAAGATGGCACAAGACCCTTCAACAAGTCTATCACTGATAACCCAGTTGGATGGAACAAACTATGTTTCCTGGTCTATGAAGTGCAGTCTACTTCTGCGTAGAGAAGGGTTATGGAATGCAGTTTAGAATCCACCGGATGTAAATGCTTGGGATCCAGAAAATGAGGACGATGCCAAGAAGCTTGCTGACTTTAAAACAATGAACGAGCTCTTTGTATAATTGGACTAACACTGAGTGAACAGCAGCTAGTCCATATTCGTGGAGAAGAGTCTGCTGCTAGGTGTTGGGAGAATTTGAAGGGGATTTATGTTCGTGACAGTGTAGGTGCACACATACATCTTACATGTAAACTGTTTAGAGCACATCTTCTGAAAGGTGGAGATACGTTAGCTCATTTGAACTTCATGAAAACAACTTTTCAAGAGTTACATGAAAAAGAACTGATATTTTCAGAGCTGCATCAAGTTTACATTATTCTTTCCTCATTGGATGAAAGTTATGATGATTACGTATCTTCACTGGAAGTCCTAACCAGAGATGAACTGACATTGACTGACATAACTGGAAGGTTGTTAGAAAAAGCAAGAAGATGACTGGATGGGACCAACTGAGGAAGGAACAACCACAAGAAGAGGATTTGTGTTCAACTGCCTATACTGTTAGGAAATGTTTTTTTCTTGTGGGACTAGGGGACATATAGCTAGATTCTATAAGAAGGGAAAACAACAGAATACTGGTAATCACCAGAAAGCTAAGAAGAATGTTAGTTTAGCTATATCTAGCAATTTAACTGTAAACCATGATTTGTGGTTGTTCATAGTAGAGCATTGCAGTGTATTACTAAAAATAGAGGTTTGTAAAGATGTCCATGAGTAAACAATATGTATCATCGGCAAATGGATGGAAAATGAAATCATCTGATGAAGGTACTGCTTATTGTTCTTGTGTAAACAAGCATTTAAATATGTTATATGTACCTAAACTGAAATTTAATTTGTTATCAGTAAGGGCTTTAGTTAATATTGATTATGTAGTAACCTTTAGGGGAGATAACTGTATAATAGAGAAAGAGGGTAAAAGTGTTACTGCTACTTTAGAGAATGATTTATATGTGATACATGATGACCAGTTGCAGATGGCTAACTCAGTTTATAACAATGTTAAGCCACATGATGAATGTATACATTTACTGCATAGACGTCTGGGGCACATTAATTTCAAAATGCTCAAACAAACTGTTGAATTGTCAGAGGGAGTAAAATTGAAATCCAGTAGCAAGTATTTAAACTGTAATGCTTGTAGCCAAGAGAAAAGCAAGGTTATTCCTGCAAACAGACTGAATGGGTTTAAGACCAAAGAACCTTTAGAGGTTGTGTTTGCAGACATAACTGGTCCTAAGAAACCTAGTTTGGGAGGTGCCTGCTATATTTTGAGTATAATGGACCATTACTCACGACACGGTTTCTGCTATCTCAAGAAAAACAAAACAGAAACATTCCAACATTTCTTTAACTGGCTAAGATTTGCAGAGAGAAAAATGAGGAGTAAAGTAATTACTTTAGTTACTGATAATGGGACTGAGTTTGTTAACAAGAGATTCCAAACAATACTGAAATTGGCTGGTATTGAGCATAAATGTTCTGCACCTTACAGACCACAACAAACTCATTTGTAGAATGAAGAGGGCAAACATAACAAGCCATGGCTCGCACTATGTTATCTGATTCAGGTTTACCTGAAACACTGTGGGGTGAAGCCATAATGTGTAGCAATCATGTGTTAAACAATGTAGTTAACACAACAACTGTAGAATTGCCATTCACCTGTTGGCATGGCAGAAAGCTAAATTTAAGTTACCTACACACATTTGGAGCTCCAGCATGGGTGCATATTCCCTCATAAGTAAGAATGAAAGGGCAACACAGGGCTAAGAAATTATTTTTTGTAGGTTACGAGGCCAATCATAGATCGTTTAGATTTTGGGATCCAGGCACAGCTCCAGGCACAGCTGTAGCGTTAGTGCAAAATTTTTTGAGAATGTTGGGTGGAATAAACTGGAACAGGAATCCAGCAATGATGTTATTATTGACACCAAAGTAGTCCCTAAAAATGAAATAAGTAAACCATGAATAGCCATTAAAGAGGAAGAACAGGCACAGGAGGAAGTAGGAGAACGGGCACAGGAGGAACAGGTGACTCCACCAGTTAGCCCTGTATTACCAAGACGTTCAACCTGAGTAACACGACCACCTGATAAATATCAGGCTAGTATTGTATGCCAAGTGAGTACAGTTCCAAGTAACTATGATGAACTAAAACTGTATCCTGCTAAGGATCGGCTGCTTGGTAGGAAGCAATGGATAAGGAACTGAAATCCTTACAAAGGTTGGAGATATACGAAAATGTTAAGTTACCATCAGGTAAACATGCCATAGGGTGTAAATGGATTTATAAACTGAAGACAGGTATGGATGGGACTGTCACCCATAAAGCCAGGTTAGTAGCACAAGGGTTCAATCAGACAGCAAATGACTATGATGAGGTGTTTGCACCTAGTCTGAAGGCTACTACATTACGGGCAGCATTAGTGTGGGCAGCTAAGGGGAAATACATTATAAATCATTTAGATGTAGAGATGGCATATCTGTATGCACTGTTGCAACACACTATATATTTAAAAAACCTCTAGGTATCAAAAATGATAATACAACTGATTGCTGGAGATTGAAAAAGTCTTTATGGCTTGAAGCAATCAGGATATGAGTGGAATCAGTGTATAGTTAGGGAATTAACTAAGATAGGTTTTGTAGCTGGCATGGCTGATCCATGTTTGTTTAAAAAAGAAAGTGATGGTGTAATTTCATTGTTGCTATTGTTTACTGATGACATAGCATTAATCACCAAAACTGAACAAGAAGCTACTAAAATAATGTAACTGTTAGAGAAGAAATCTAAGATAAAACAGTTAGGTGAAATTAAACAATATCTTGGTTTAAAGATAGATAAAACTGGGGAGGATACAAGATCTCACAGGTAGATAAAATTAGCCAATTACAAAAGAATTTAAAATGGAAAATGGAAACACCGATGAGCCAGGAGTTTAGCCATAGTAATGTTCAAAGTCCTGTTTTTGATAAGATTGGTAGTTTATCTTATCTCAGTAATTGGTCAAGGCCAGATATAGCATACTGTGTTAACCAATTAGCTAGATTTAACACTGAGCCAACTGAAAGGCTCTGGAAAGCTGCTAAGCGTATGTTAAGATATCTGAAACAAACAATGCATTACGCATTGTATTTGGAGCCTAAAGATGAACTGAGTTTAACTGCATATGCCGATGCAAGTTTTGCTACGGACATAAATACACGAAAATCTACATCAGATACTGTAGTAGTATTGGGAAAGGTGTTGATTGGATGGAGGTCTATTCGACAGAGACATTTAAATTTGTCAACAATGGAGGCTGAATTCTTATGTTTGTCTTTATTATGTACAGATTTAGTTTATTATAAGCAACTATTAATTGACATGGGAATTGATGTAACAGATTCTATTGTTGTTTATGAAGATAACCAATCAGCAATACAAATGGCTTCAAATATTGCTGTTAAGACAAGACCAAAACACACAGATTTAAGATATTTAAATGTGAGACAATGTGTGCAAAGTAAGATGTTAAGCTGGAATACTGTATGTCAGAAAATAACATCGCAGATCATTTTACAAAAGCTCAAGGCTCTGTAAAGCATAAGGCTTGCTGTGAGGATTATGGACTTAGAATGTAAGGTTGTATATATTGTCCTACCCAAAGGGGAGAATGTTAGGAATGTAAGTCACTTAACAGTTAGTTGGGTTGGAAAATATATAAACCAAGATAGACATTTTAATACTGTCACTTTAGGAGAATGCTAAAAGTGTAATTGGGTATGGTTCCTCAAATGGCCATAAGATGGAGCCAGAAACCTGGGTTGTTTTGGTCCTGTTCTGTTGTTCTGTAGACTGTTGCTGATCATAGTTGGATTTGATGTAAGTCTGTTACTGAACTGTTTTTGATGCTGGACTTTGTTATTCGATTATCCCTGGATTAAAACCTGACTGCTTTAATTGTGAATGACTTGGACTGCTTGTTTGGACTTTGCTTAAATGTTTATTGGAAGTAAAAACCTACATTTTACTATACAGTGTATCTGTATGCTAGTTGTGTGTTATTCTTCACCACTCTCACTACGTCTCCCTGTATACTTTCATTCTCCTAATGGGGAATTACCTCAACAACAACCCTAGCAAAAACAGTAGTAAAATTCGGCATGACTCCCATAACAGGTGCCTTGCTTATCAATGGAAATTCTGGCCTCAATTGTAGCCATGTGTCGAGGACTACCTGTAAAGATAGCCCTAGCAGGTGCTTCTTATCTGGACTACTTTGAAGAGTTAATGACCTAATTTTTAGCAAAAAGCAAAGAAAATAAGAAAGCAAAAAATTCGACGAAGGAAGTCCCAATGGTGCTTTTTCAAGAGGCAATGAACTTCCTTGTTTTTCTTTGAAGATACTTTGCTTCCCATCCAAGAAACTTCTTCAGTTCTGGCTGAACTATGGAGGATGGAAGGATTTATACAGGTAGTCCTCAACTTACAACAATTGATTTAGTGACCTTCAAAGTTACAACTGCTCTGAAAAAAGTGACTTATGACCATTTTTCATACTTTGCAGCATTCCCCGGTTCATGTTATCAAGATTCAGATGCTCAGTAACTGGTTCATACTTATGATTATTGCTGCATTCTAAGGTCATGTGATCACCTTTTGCAATCTTTTGACAAGCAAAGTCAATGGGGAAGCCAGATTTGCTTAATAGGTTAATTTATCAACTATAGTGATTCACTTAACAACTGTAGCAAGAAAGGTCCTAAAATGGGTCAAAACTCACTTAAAATGTTTCACTTAACAACAGAAATTTTGGGTTCAACTATGGTCATAAATAGAAGACTACCATTATTCCTTGCAGTCTTCTGATTGTTAGAACTCTCTCTGAGAATCATTGAGGCCATTTGGGGGTTTATCTGTGCCCTCGGGGTCACTTGAATAGTGCAAATGGAGTGGAACCTTTTTGTTACTACTGAAAGGAGAGGAGATAGGTGGCGTCGTATCCGTCCCACTCTGTTGAGAGAGGGTTTTCAATCTTAATGTAGATGGTCTCTTTGACCCCTCTTTCAAATCAGTGGTCCTCGCTGTCCAGAATGTGGACTTTGTTGTGACCATTGTCTTTAAAATGCAGATGGACTGCAGAATCTGGTCCTGATGGGTTTGTTGTCCTATGTTGTGCCATGCGTTTGTGAAGTGTTCTTTTTTTCTTCTCTAATGAACAGATCTATGTATGTCTCCCTGTATTGTAAGCTCCACCACCCATTTGCACTATTCAGGTGCCCCGAGGGCACAGATAACTCCTGAAGTAGTCTCAATGATTCTCAGAGAGAGCACTAATGACCAGATGTGTGCAAGGAATATAAATCCTTCCATCTTCCAGCATTCAGTCAGAACTGAAGAAGTTTCTTGGATGAGAAGTGAAATCTCTTCAAGGAAAAACAAAGTCCAGTTGCCTTTTGAAAATACATCAACATGTCCTGGATGATTGAGAATCCCCACAGACATTTAGACGAGGAAAGGGCAAGTGAAGACGAGGAATGTATCCACCATCTTTCCCTACCGTGAACTTTGATCTGAGCTGTGCTCTGTTTCTCTCCCGCATCACAAGTATATTTTCCTGCATCCTCAGGTTGTGCGTGGTGAATCAGCAGCTCAGCCACACAGCCGTCCTTTTTCATCTCGTACTTCTCGCTCGCTCGAAGGAGAGTCACACCTTTCTTCCATACCACTTTGACCTCTGGCGTGGCGAGGACGCAGCGCAAAGTGACCGTCTCACCCTCTTTCTTTTCCACATCCTTAAGCTTTTCCTTAAAAATGGCAGGGGCTGCTACAAGGCACGATCAGGATAAGGGAAGGGGCAAAGTAAGGTTTTGGAGGAAAACTCGTACATGAGCTGATATGGCAACAGGAAGCAAACTGCATTTGTACATGGTTTTGGCAGCAGCAGAGTGCAATAAATGAATCTTTTAAATAAACAAAGCACCTAGCACTGATGATCTTATCTAATTGGATAATGAGACGTCTGCAAGGAAACAACCAAGTTCAAAAAGTACCAAGGACCTTAGTCCTTCCTCTCCTCCACCTACTGTCTATAACCCTCCCTCCCTTCTAGCACTGATGACCCAACTGGGTCATGAGATGTCTGAAAGAAAATGATCAAAGACCAAGGAAATGAGATATAATGAAACGAATGAGATATGAGATGATATGAGATTGAAATATAAAGTATGTGGTATGAGATTGAGAAATGAGATATGAGGTATGTCATAGAGATTTGAGGTATGAGATATGAGACATGGGGTATAAGATTGAGATATGAATAATGAGATATGAGGTATGAAATTGAGATGAGATAAAAGTTACAAGACATGAGATATGAGGTATGAGATATAAGATATAAGATATGAAATATGAGGCATAAGATTGAGTTATGAATGAGATATGAGGTATGAGGTATATATATGAAACTGAGAGGGGATACAAAATATGACATGAGGTATGAGGTATGATGTCTAAAATTGGGATATGAATGAGATGTGAGGTATGAGAGGAGGTATGTGAGATATGAGATTGAGATATATGAGGCATGACATATGGGATACTACATGAGGTATAAGATATGAGATTGAGATAGATATGAGATATAAGAGTTGAGATATGAGGTTTGAGATATGAGGTATGACATATGAGATGAGATAGGAGATAGGAGATATGAGAATCAGGTATCGTGAATGAGATATAAGATTGTGATGTGAGATATGAGATGAACATAAGCAACACTCAGCTGAATTGTACTCATCTAGTCCAGCCCTCGGTCCACCATTGTCCAAGCAATCATCTCAGCCTTTTCATAAAATCAAAAGAGACACTTGAGAAAAACCCTCTTTCTCTCGAGACCCTGAGATTATCCACCCAATTTTTCTCTATCCATCTCTGGGATGGAGAACTTCAGAAGACCATGAAGTCCAAAACCGCTTTCAGTACTGGCCAATGTTAGCAAAGGTCCCCTACCTGTCACTTCCACTCGCGCAGAAGTCTTCAGGTCTCCACTCTTGCAAATATATTCCCCTGCATCCGACAGCTTTGCATCCCGGATGACGAGCTCGGCCACAGGACCCCTTTGCTTGAATTCATACTTGTCCCCTGCTTCCAGGACTACATTGCCTTTCATCCACTGCACGGGAACATCTGGTTTGTTAAGCTCACAAGTAAGACGGACTTTATTCCCTTCCTGGGCTTCCTTGTTTTGTAGTTCTTGGTTAAAAACTACCGGCAGGCCTAAACCGCAAAAACAAAAAAGATGGAACAGAAAGGAAGAGAAATAAATCATTATCCTTTTTTTTAAACTAATCATATTGATGTACCGATAGCCCTTGACTTATAACAGTTCATTTAGTGACTGTTCAAAGTTACAAGAGGACTGAAAAAAAAGTGACTAAGGACCATTTTTCACACTTATGACCATTACAACATTCCCAGGATCATGTGACTAAAATTTGGACACTTATGACGGTTGCAGTGTCCCAAGATCATGTGGTCCCTTTTAGTGACTTTCTGATGAGCAACTTAATAGCAATGATCCACCTAATAACTATGGCCAGAATGGACATAAAATGAGGCAAAATTAACAACTGTCTTGCTTAGCAATGGAAATAGGGGCCTCAGTTGTGGTCATATGTCGAGGACCACCTGTACTTAATTAGCTACTTCTCTCTGGTTTTATTTCTACACGATTGAAACCAATCAGACCTTGCACCAACAATCCTACCTTGCACCACCAGCTTTGCACTGGATTGGCTGTCACCAATGTCACAAGTGTAGATGTCACTATCGTTTTCTTTAAGGTCTTTGATGAGGAGTTGCAAGACTGTCCCTTTTTGGCTGATCTCATATTTCTGGCTAGTTTGAAGGTCAAGAATGCCTTTCCTCCATGTCACAGAAGAAGTTGGTTTCTTGGTTTCGCAAGTGAGGGTGGCATTCTTGTTCTCCTCCACCTTCAAGTCCTCAAGATCCTTCACAAAGCAGTTTCCAGCTTCTGGAACAGATGAAATCAAAGATCCCATCAAATTTTAGTAAGAGAAATAAATCCATTTATTTGTCTGCTTATGTATAATAACTACTGGCCATAAGCATGAGTTCAATGTGTGAAGTTCAATGAATTACCTTCTTTCCATCCAATTACAAGTCTTCGACTTGCAACCGTTTGTTTAATGACCATTCAAAGTTACAACAGGAGTGGATAAGTGACTTATGACCATTTGTTCAACTTACAATTGCTCCAACTTCCCTATGATCACGTAATTAAAATTCAAACACTTGGCAACTGACTCATACTTATGATGGTTGCAGTGTTGCAGAGTCATGTGATCAACTTTTACAAACTTCTGACAAGCAAAGTCAATGGGGGAAATCCAGATTTACTTAACAACCATGTCACTAACTCAACAACTGTAACGGTCATAAGTGTGAAAAATGGTCCTAAGTCACTTTTTTTAGTGCCACTGTAACTTTGAATGAACTGTTGTAAGTCGAGGACTACCTGCAGCCCTATCACTGACCTTCCACCGATAGCGTGGCTTTCGTTTTGGAAAATTCAGTCTCGCAGGTATATTCTCCACCATCTTTCATTGTGGTGTCATGGATGATTAAAATCGCCCGGGTGCCTTCCTGACGTAGGTCGTATTTTTGACTCCTCCGAATCTCTTTGCCATCCTTCTTCCACTTCAGGTTGTTGTCCCATCTGGACAAGTCACAACTTAGGCTGACTTCACGTCCCACCAAGGCGGACTTGTCCTCCAGCTGTTTTGTGAATTCTGCGGGTTTTTCTATGGAGAACAAAAGATTGGGAAACTAAGTCAGAGAAAAGGCACAAGATTTGTGACAGACAGTTGCATGTCTGCAACTATTACAGATGGAAAAACTAAGGCTGGATTTAGACCATGATTATAAAATGGCTGCATGCGTGCAGCCTCATGTTGTAGAAATTATCTCTATTGGCTCTCATGAGTTTTTCTAGGACTTTGTGGGGACTTTAAGTGTTTAGATATGGTAAAGTAACTAAATATGGGAAAATACAGCAATTACTTATGTATATCTCTGTCTATCTGTCTATCAACTATCTATCCAATAATCCATTCATCCACATCTCTCTCTCTCTCTCTCTCTCTCTTCCTCTCTTCTTCAGCTATCCAACTATCTAGCTATCCATCTCTCTCTCTCTCTCTCAAATCTACATCTATTTATCTATTCAATTAGACATCCAATTATCTCTCTCTGTATCTCTTTCTATTTTTCTCTATATACCTATTCATCTCTCTGTCTCTCTATCCAATCATCCATCTAACTATTTATCCATCTAATTCAGAGAGAAGAGGTAGGAGAAGAGATAGATATTCTCCCCCCCCTCTCTCTCTATCTATCTATCTCTCTCTCTCTATATATATATATGCGCCTGATGATGGCAGATGAGATTCTGCCGAAATGTTGCTACAACTTTAAAAGCACAACTACAATGACGTGGGAAAATACCCGAATGAAGCTGAATGCCATACATGTAAGTACCCGCGAAAACTTAAGAAAAAATATATATATATATTTCTCTCTCTCTCTCTTTCTCCTTTCTATATCTCTACCTTTATATCTATCATCTCTACCATGTCTCTCTCTCCCTCCCTCCCTCTCTCCCACCCCCCTCTCTCTCACACACACATACACACTTATTTGACAAGTTTGTTATTTTTCCTTTAAGAAAATGTTCCTGAAACATGAAATATTTGCAAGGAAATCCCCAAGTTCAGGGAGCCCGCAAGACCCCACCCTGGCTGTTGATTTCATGGACTCTCTACTCCATCTGTCTTATTTTAATACAATCATAGTTCCCTCCCCATTTTGTACCTTTCACCACTAGAGATGCTTTGGATTTTAAATCGCGGACGGAAAAAACTACTTCACCGGCATCGGTAATTAAGGTTTTCTTGATTGTGAGGGTGTATTTCCTTCCTTTGTTGAAGGCTCGGAATCGGGCATCATGGCTGACTTCATTCCCATTGATTAGCCACTGACAACCCTCCAGACTCTCGTGTGAGAGGACACATTCGAAGCTACAACCCTCTCCTTCCTGCACCTCGACACTTTTTAGACGCTTTGTGATGCCGATATTGAGCTCTGTGGTGAAATAAGAAGTAGGTTAAATCAAAATAATTACCAGAAATCCTTGACTTACAACAGTTTATCTAGTGACCATTCCAAGTTACAACTGCACTGAAAAAAGTGGCATGGCTGTTTTTCACATTTATGACTGTTGCAGCATCCTTGTGATCATGTGATCAAAATTCTAACCCTTCCAAATGACTCGTAGTTATGACGGTTGCAATGTCCCAGGGACATGGGATCCCCTTTTACGGCCTTCTGACGAGCCAAGTCAATGGGGAAGCCAGATTCACTTAATAACCATGTGACTAACTTAATTCACTGAACAAATATCTCTCTTAGCAACACAAATTTTGGTCTCCATTGTAGTCATAAGTTGAGGACTAACTTAAATTTAAAAACCCATTAAAATTATTAAAATAAAACAGCATTAGCTGATTCTTGAGACCCTCAATCAAGTGGAGAGTTCTCAGGTTACAACCGTCAATAAGCACTGAGTCATTGTCTTGATGATGATAAAGTAGCTACCATAGAAGCATGCCTGATTTGATAACCTTGTCTTGCCTTCTGGTGCTTTGGAAAATATATTGACTCCCTCTTCTTTGTGGCAGCCCCTCAAATATTGGAAGACTGCTCTCACGTCACCCCTAGTCCTTCTTTTCCTTAAACCAGACATACCCAATTCCAACCATCATTTTTTGTATGTTTTAGCCTCCAGCGCGCTAATCATCTTTGTCACTCTTCTCTGCATACTTTCCAGAGTCTCAACGTATTTTTATATCATAGCAACCAAAACTGGATGTAATATTCTATGTGTGGTCTTTCTAGAGTCTCAACACCTCTTTCTAGTGTCTCAACAAACTTTCTAGAGGAGGGATTCCCAACCTGGGGTGCTGGCACCCCCTGGGGGTGTGAGACAATATTCCAGTGAGTGCGAGAAAAGTCCAGGTAAATAATAGGATATTGGCTATATGTTGGCATTTTTATTTATTATGCAATGCATTAACTTTGTTTTCATTTTAGAGTTAGGTATCGTTATTTAGTGGCCGTCACATACATAGCTGAAAAGATTCAACCCTACCATATATTTAACACGTTCAGTAGTTCCTAAAGTCTAAATTTCAGGGGGTGCGAGGTTCGAGTGAAATTTCTTTAGGGGCGCGGGGCGAAAAAAAGGTTGGGAACCACTGTTCTAGAGTCTCAACACCTCTTTCATATCATGGTGATCAAACTCTGTGGACATCCCTATGAGGGCAAGACCTCTCCCACACAACACCCTACAGTTGTGTCACTGGATCCTTATCCTACAATTGTGGAACTCCAAGAGCTCTGGAAGCCCACAACTGTAAAAAAAAAAATGAAGAGTGGTGTTCTCCTGACTCAGTCTGGGTTTCCCATTTATGAGTACCTTGAATGATGACTTTAGACTTGGCGATGTCCATCCCAAGGTCACACGTGTACCATCCAGCATCATCCTTGCCGAGATCTCGGATGGTGAGTCCCAGGGTTTTCCCAGATTGCAGCATCTCATATTTATCTCCTGGGGTTAGTTCCACCCCTTCCTTCTTCCACACCGGTTTCACTTTTGATTTTGAGACTTCACACTCCAGTGTGATAGTGCTTCGTTCCTCAGCAACCACGTCGTCCAGAGATTTCATGAAAACGGCTGGCTTCTCTGCAGAAGATGGCGACAAAGGTGTATTTAGAAGCCATACTTGTTGGTCAGGCTAACATAAGTAATCTTGACCAATGTTCCTCTGTTGAATTGTATGAACTGGGAGATAATTCACACAATTCTACGGAGTGTGCAAAGACAGTGTCAGAGGTAACAGAGATAACAGTAAGTCTTTAAAAGGAAATTGCTTTCACCACTCTGGAAATTAAAATAACTTCTTAAAATAAAGTTTGCCATAACTGCTTATGTTCACTAACAAGAGGAAGTGATTAGGATATTTTAGTACAAGTTGTCCTTGACTTACAACCACAACTGAGCCCTAAATTCCCATTATTAAGTGAGACATTTGTTAAGTGAATTTTGCCCATTTTACAACCTTCCCTGCCACAGTTGTTAAGTGAATCACTGCAGTTGTTTAGTTAATCACATGATGGACAATTTGAATCTGGCTGACCATTGACTTTGCTCGTCAGAAAGTCTCAAAATAAAGGGACTTATAAATAAAGGGACTTATGAATGTTATTCACACTTACAACCATTGCAGCATCTCCACAGTCACATGATCAAAATTCAGATGCTTGGCAGACGACTTATACTGATGACGGTTACAGTGTCCCGGGGTCACGTGATTCCCGTTTGCGACCTTCTGACAAGCAAAGTCAATGGGGAAGCCGGATTTGCTTAACAACCATGTTAACAAATGCAGTGATTCTCTTATCAACTGTGGCAAGAAAGATGGCAAAACGGGGCAAAACTCATTTAACAAATGTTTCACATAGCTATAGAAGTTTGGAGCTCAGTTGTGGTCATAAGTTGAGGACTACCTGTAGGATATATACTGCAGATCAGCATATCTACAGAAGCATTTGGTCTCATACACACACACACACACACACACACACAGAGTGAGTTTAATAATAGGCCCTCCAGAGCATCTGAAATTTTTAGTTCTTCAGAACATCTCTAGATAGGGAAGAAGATAAGGAAAAAAATTGAGCTTGGGAAAGGAACAGTGTGATGGGCCTGAGGCAGAGATTACAACCAAGATTATCACTAGACCAACAACCAAACCATAAACAACCATCAAGGAACTACTGACTCTAGAGGAGATGTCCAGGGAACACATCTAATAAATAAACAAATAAATGCAGGCAAAGAGTAAACAACAACCCAATCAAGGAACTAACCTAATTGGGTTATGGAACATCTCAAGAAAACAATCAAGTTCAGAGAGCACCAAGGACCCCACCTGCCTGAAGCTCTCCCGTGGCTTCAAGGTGTGCCCATGGATTTCATCTGCCAAGATGGAAAAAGGATATCTCAAGGCCACTGACTAAACTGCCTCCTCAGACCTCAAAACTCCTGGAAGAAACTCACCTTTCACCTTCAGCCGGGTGCTCTCCGAGGTTTTCTTCTGGACTTTGATGGTCACTGTCCCACTGTCTTCCGGTGTGACATGCTTCAGCGTCAGGCTGTGGGACTTGCCCAAATGCTTTATCTCATTGAAGTTGTTGGGGGAGAGGTGGGTGTCATTGAGGAACCATTCAACATCCTCACAATCTTCAGACAACTCACAGGAGAAGGTGGCCAAGCTCTCTTCATCAACCTCCACATCCTGCAGATGTTTGGTGATCTCCACTTTGCGTTCTAGGGCAAGGAAGGAGAAGTCAAGAGGACATTGCTCCATTCCAAGTCTCTGCTTCCACACGTTGTAACACACATAGAGCCAGTTTGGCCTCATGGTTAAGGCACCAGGCTAAAAAGCAGGAGACCATGAGTTCAAGTTCCAGCTTAGCCATGAAAGCCAGCTAGTTGACTTTGGGACAATTAGTCCCACCTTAAGCTTGAAAGCCGGCTGGGGGACTTTGAGCCAATCACCACGAGATGATGAGTTCTAGTCCTGCCTTAGGCATGAAATCCAGCTGGGAGACTTGGACCAATCACCAAGAAATGGTAAGATCTAATCCCGCTTTAGACACCAAAGCCAGCTGGATGATTTTGGAACAATCACCAAAAGACAGAGAGTCTAGTCCCACTTTAGACATGAAGCCAGCTGGGTGACTTTGTGCCAATCACTGGGGAAAGTGAGTTCTAGTCCCTCCTTAGGAATGAAAGCCAGCTAGGGCCAATCTCCAGGAAACAGTGAGTTCTAGTCCACCCCTTTTGGCCTCCTACATAAGGTAAATCTTGAAAGGTCCTATCCCATCAACCTACCCAAAATGGTCAACGTGGCTTTCGTCTCTGCGCTTCCGGCTTTGCATCGGTAGACACCTGAATCCCCGACAGTCAATCTCAGGATTTTGAGCTCTGCTGTGAACTTCTCCCTCTTCATCTTAAATTTCTCAGAAGGTTCCAGCAATGTGTGGTTCCTGTACCACTCAACCTCTTTTGGGGATGGCTTGAAGTCACAAGAGAGGACCACCGAATGCGTTTCCAGGACTGTCCTGTCTTCTAGAGGTCTGGTGAAGATCACCGGAATATCTACAGAGACAAGATGAAGAAGGTCGCCTTTGAAACCAAGAGGACTCATGCAAGGACTGAATTAAATTGTGACACCTTCTCCTCCAACTAGCATCATTGTGGTTCCTCAAAAGCTACATAATTTTATGAACTCGGTATCTCCAAACATTTTCCAACCACATTTCCCAGAATTTTACCCAGTTTGAGGTCATGCAGGCTCATAATCTGAGAAATTATTGCCCAATTTGTGTGGTTGTATCCCTTCTCTACAACAGTTGTGTTGCACAATTTTGGAGTGGATTTCTTTTATATCATTTTCCTTTGCTACCCCCATGGTTTCAAAAAGATGCCTCTTCCAAATCTAGAAAAACCCTTGAAATTATCCAAAGGGGTTACCATCACTAATACTTTCCAGTTTGCTCAAACAAATAAGGCAGCTACCAAAATTTTGATGCTGTTTCATTATTGAATCTTTGGCCAAATCAAATCCGAATTGAGTCTATTGATTCTATTTATACAAGAGAATCTTTGTAGCTAAGAGTTAAACTATAGGTTCCTTGCAGGGGTGGGATTCTACCAGTTCACACCTATTCGCTAGAACTGGTTGTTAACATTCTAAGCAGTTTGGAGAACCGGTTGTTAGAAGAAATTACTGGGCTAATCCTGTAAGGAAGGCAGGAAGGAAACATTCTGGTGTTGCTTACAGAAACTGCCACTCCGTTGACCCTTATTACATTCTTGGCAGGACTAGACTTCCTGTCTCTGGAACCTCTCTGGAGTTTTTTTCCGTCCTTTGCTGGTACTTTGCTTGTGTGGAGCGACCATGCAAACTTACAATGGCACTGAAAAAAGTGACTTATGACCATTTTTCGCTTTTACAACTGTTGCAGCATCCTCACAGTCATGAGAGCCCAGGCGAGGAGATGCGTGCCTAGATGTGAGCGATGTTGATCTGGCCACGCCCATCCAATAACATGATCACCAAGCCACGTCCAGTCAGTCACATGACCACCAAGCCATGCCCATCAACTAAGCCACGCCCACAGAACCAGTTGTTAAAAAATTTGAATCCCACCCCTGGTTCCTTGGTGTAACTGGACTAGAAGACCTTCACGGTCATTTCCAACTGTATTACAGATAGCCCTTGACTTACAACAGCTCATTTAGTGACCATTCAAAGTTATAACGGCACTGAAAAAAGTGACTTTAGGACCATTTTTCACACTTATGATCATTGCAGCATCCTCATGGTAACGTGATCAAAATGCAGACAACCTGGCAACTGACTCGTATTTATGATGGCTGAAATGTCCTGGGTCACGTGATCATTTTTTGTGACTTTCTGACAAGCAAAGTCAGAAGGGGGAAGTCAGGTTAACTTAACAACCACATTACTAACTTAACAACCACAGTGATTCTCTTAACAACTGGGGTAATAAAAGTAAACAAATGGGACAAAATTCATTTAATAAATGATTCACTTAGCAAGAGAAGTTTTGGGGTGAACTTTGGCCATGTCGAGGGCTACCTGTATTCTATTTTGTTCTGTTTTAATATTCTATTCTATTCTGTTATGTTCCATTTCATTCTATTTTATAAATTTTGTTCTATTCTGTTCTTTCTATATTTTATTCTCTCCTCTCACATTCTACTCCACCCCATCCTGTTACATCACGTCATGTCACATCGCATCCCGTCCCCCCCCCCCCCCCACTCCACTCCATTCCTCCACTCTCACCCGCTCTACTCCGTCCCATTCCCTTCAAAATAAGCCTACAGGTCCAACCCCTGTCACCACCCACAAAGTCTTCCGCGACTGTTTTAAACTGGGTAGGACTTCTTTCTGCCTTACCTTTGACCACCAGATCAGCCAAGGATTTGGACTTTCCAATGGCAAATTGGATGGTGCCTGTCATGTCCACATTGGTTTTCCTCAAGATCAGCCGATGGATTTTCCCCTCTTGCTCTATGATGACATTTGGGCCCTTCTGTAGCACTTCCCCGCGGAGAGACCATTTGGGGGGCTTCACAGAATGGACGGAGATTTCGCACTCAAAGCGGGCTTCAGCTGGTTCCATTACCTCCACGTCTCTCAGCTCCTTCACGATGTTGATGGTTTGTTCTGAAGAGAAATAATGGAAGACAAAGTTGGTTGCTTGGTCATCGCTACTGGAGCTTGGGGACTTGGAAATCCCCAAGTTTTTCAAGTCATCATTGTTGAAACAAAAAGAGCTTTCTAAGACACCACTAGTCCTCGACTTACAATCATTCATTTAGTGACAGTTTGAAGTTACAATGGTACTGAAAAAAGTGCCTTGTGACCATTTTTTACACTTATGACCATTGCAGTATCCCCATGGTCACATGAGCAAAATTCAGATGTTTGGCAACTGACTCATATTTATGACAGTTGCAATGTCCTGGGATTGTGGGATCATTTTTTGCAAACTTCTGGCAAGCAAAACCAATGGAGAAGCCAGATTCACTTAACAATCATGGGACTAACTTAACGACTGCAGTGTTTCACTTAACAACTATGTTTCCCCGAAAAAAAAGGCTTACCCCGAAAATAGGCCCTAAATTGATTTTACACATGTGCCCAATATAAACTCTACCCCCAAAAAATTATAGTTGTGCTTTTAAAGTTGGAGCAACGTTTCGGCAGAATCCCATCACCATCATCAGGCTTCTCTATTGTGTTCGTCTGACTCACAACTTTAAAAGCACAACTATAATGACATGGGGAAAAAATATATATATATGGATCTTTGGTTATTCGGGTTTTCTCCTGTGTAAGACTGGAAGTATCTAGGCAACGTTTCGATGAAGTCTCATTCATCATCTTCAGGCTT